TTCACAGGGAAACGGTTTCTGTCCTATATGAATTTTTTGATGTTCTCTAAGACTTAAATGCCACATGAAGAACTTTCCACATTTAAGACATTTGTGGCAGCTCTTCTCACTCTCCATTCCCTGACGTCGCTTAAGTCCAGAACTTCCCTTGAAGCTCTTGCCACATTCTTCACCTTTATACAATTTTTCTTCTGAGTCCACAGGCTGAGAGACTTGAAGAGATGAGCTAACGCTGAAGCATTTTTCAGACCCAGAGTCTTCATAAGTTTTCTCTCTTGTGGGAAATCTTGAGTCTTCTGGGTTCCTTCTGGAACTCTCTCCATGCTCCAAACATTTACAAAGATTTTCCTCTGTGTGGCATGTTGGACATTTCACTGGGCTTTTCCTCAGAGGACTCCTTAGCACAGACTCTGAGCTCTGAAGGACATTGAGGCGCTTGTTTATTATCTTGTCCTCTTCTTCTTGACAGACAACTCCTCTCAGATAAGGGTGAGGTTTGTTTTTCCTCTCATTTGCCTCGTTTTCCTTCTGCCTTCGTGATTCATCTCTGATCCCACAGTTCCCGTTTTCATCCTCCACTCTTTCTGGGGATGTCCTGTGGAGTTTTCCTTCCTCCTCCTGTACATCATCTGCTGGAAGAAGGACAGAATTCATGGTGATTAGAGGCTTTTGCCATTTGCAAAATAAAATATCTATCGATGAACCAATTTCCTGCTGCCTCCCTTTCTGTGCTGAGAAACCAGTAGATCACAATCATTCGTGATCTGGGTTAACACCTTCTTAACCAACAGAAGTCCAAGGATTTAAAGGAATCAGATTTCCAATCTTAGTGCTAGATGTTTTAGGTGGACCTGAACGAGAAGTCTGAGGATTTTAAGGAATCCGTTTTTCGGTCTTAGTGTGACAAACTGAAATTTGTAGGGGCAGAGGAACTAGAGACCAAATTGCTAACATGCGCTGGATTATGGAGAAAGCCAGAGATTCCAGAAAAATAATTTGGGGGTGATTTCTATACCCCCCTATAAATGTTCTAATCCTTTTGAACAGAAAATGTAGCAAATTCTGAGAAAAAGTTAGAAAGTACATTTGCCTCATTTGCCTTCCCCCTCTGTGATTCATCTCTCTTCCCACAGTTCTCCTTTTCATCCTCCACTCTTTCTGGGGATGTCCTGTGGAGTTTTTCTTCCTCCTCCTGTGCATCATCTGCTGGAAGAAGAACAGAATTCATTGTAATTAGAAGATTTTGCCATTTAATAGGGAAAATATCTATCGATAAGCAAATTTCCTGCTGCCTCCCCTTTCTGTGCTGAGAAAACAGTACATCACAATTGTGTTACTGAGTTGAGCTGGAGGTTGGACTTGATGGACATGATTCTATGATTCGTGACCTGGGTTTCAACCTTTTTGACCTACAGAAGTCAGAGGATTTTGAAGAATCAGTTTTCCAGTCTCAGTGCTTAAGAACTTTTAGGTGGATCAGAACAAACAATGAGCAGAATGGATGAGCACTGAAGTCGAAGAACGTTTATTTTGCCTGGAAGGGGATTAAAAAAGAGGATGGAAATGCAAAAGGTCCTATCAGATGGAAAAGTGTTCTTCTAAATCAGATATAGCTGGATGGAGAGATCATTGAGTGGAGTGTAGATCCAGAATTCAGGGGTTCGATCTTCCATGATAGCTCATGGGACTTTGTAACCTTGTCTCAAATTTTGCTGCCTTTTCTGTTCAGGAGCGTTAAAATAATCATAGGGGTGTTTAAAAATCCCCACCCCAATTACCCTTTTAAAAAAAGCACTTTTAAACAGACGTCATGAAGGTCTTGTTTACTACAAGTGTTCTGAAAACAATGAATCAGCGACTACACCAGAAAGGTCACTGAATGAAAACAATTTTGGCAAACTCCTGTTCTGTTTTGCTTCCACTCTATACATAAGAGGCATAATAACAGTAAACACTGAACCTTGGGAAAGCAAGGAGGAGTTCATTTACGCGTCCAACTGAACCATCTCTGAGTACCCTTACAGCACATTACAGTGGACCCTCGACTTACAGACGGCTCCACCTGCGGACTTTTCGACTTACAGACATCTCCAGCCGCAAAATTTCACTTCGACTTGCGGCTGGAGAATCAACCTACGGACCGGAAGGGGGAGGTGGGGAAAGCGCCAAATTAGCATTTGGCACTTCCCCCGCCTCCCCCTTCCAGTCTGGATGCCTTCCAGGGCTTCTCCGCCGCAATGGGAGGCGTCTCGGTGGCTCCCCCGGCGCAGCTGGAGGCCTCCAAAGCACGATCAGCAGCTGGGGGGACGTCCGAGATGCGTCCCATGGCGATGGAGTAGCCCTGGAAAGCCTCCAGAGGCCCCCCTCGCCACTGATCGTGCCTCAAGAGCTTCCCTGGTCATCCACCACCAGCAGCTTTCCCAGAGCCTACCAGGCCTACCAGGGGAGGGCTTCGCCTGGTAGGCCTGGTCTACCCACTGGGAAAGCCTGGTAGACTGGGCCTACGAGGGGAAGCCCTCCCCTGCTAGGCCCAGTGCACCCTGGGAAAGCTGCCACCGGCAGCAGCGGCGGACCTCCGAGAGGCCTCTCATGGCGGCGAAGAAGCCCTCGGTGGGCTTTGGCAGTGGCGATGGCGGCGGCCAGGGATCCATTTGGAATGGTAAGGTACTGCTTGTTGCATTATTTCCTTTTTTGTGGGTGGTGTTATGGATTAAGAGGTTTTCAATGCATTCCTATGGGAAATGGACCCTCGATCTACAGACTTTTCGACCGTTCCAATACAGATTAAATCCGTAAGTCGAGGGTCCACTGTAAAATGATGAAAAAGCAGCTTAAGTGAGGCATTAAGGGTCTAAAATACATTGCTGGTGCGCTGACACAATTAGAACGAATCGGACGTTACACATAAAGTTATTACAAAACAGAGAAGTGATGAGTGGTAATCAAGACAAATATATACAACGATTAACATGCAGAGGGAAACAGAATACCTTTGTCCCGACTCCAAGGATGAAAGGCTCCCCGATTCCGCTGTAGAAAAGAATCCATCCCCTGAAGATCTGGAGAAGCCTCCAATAAGCCTGAGGGGAGAGCAGGAGCTTCTTCTCCCTCATCATCTTCTGGGTCCTCCAGGGTCTCCAGCTGCTTCTGCTCACCCTCAAGAAGAGTTCCTGGCCTTCCAGGTATGCACCAAGCATTTGTCCTCATGGGCCACCTGGGACAACAGAGGAGAATCCTTCTACGAGTACAATCCTGTCCCCGAGCCTAGTCTTAGTTAAGCAATCCCATTGCTTCGCATGGGACGATCTCATCCAGCTGTTTTTTTTGTCATTGATCGCACTGTGTGATGCTTATATAGAGCCCGGGATCATTCAAAGCACTCTCTGAGCTGATAACAATCCTGCAGGCTATATATTCCTACCCCCACGCCACCCCTGTGAGCTGAGCATTCAATTTTCCAACCCCAAAGAGTGAGTCTACCTTGACTCATGGAATTGAACTCGTGTCATGAGCAAAGTTTTGGCTGCAGGACTGCAGTTCAACCACTGCACCACAACGCTCAGTATCTAAACCTACCGAAACAAGACAGTCCAGAGATGCCATTTGAAATTTATGGACTCCAACACCCACACACCCCCACAAATCTTGGGAATCCCAGTCCACAAACTCATACTGTCTGATGCGTGTATTTACCTCACCTGTCTGAGGCTGCAATGCTTCCTGGGAGTCGCAGTTCTTTGGGAGGGGCCCACCGTAGAGGTGAAAGGGCAAGAAACTAGAATATCCAGAAAAGAAATGGGGCAGGAAAATGAGGCCTCAAATTCACTCTCCGTTGAGTAGTCTTCGGGGGAAATGTAAGTGCATGAAGATGTGGGTCTGCAGCCCAAAATTCCACCATGGGAATTTTCAAAAATTTTAGGAGTTGGACCCCAAATAAACCAACCAGCGTCTATCACAGGTGAACGATTTCTGTGCTCCACAATTCAATGGTTTTCCTGGAAAACAGGGAAGACAATCAAATACTACATAGATGGACGCAGTAAAGCAGCACAAGTGAGTGTTCAGCCTTTAAAATGACAGTCACCATTTCTTTTAAAAAAAATACTGGTCAGAATGTCTGTAAATCATCCACATCATCTCTGAAAACACTCTTGCAAGACCTCTCTAGCTGGCCACATCAAGTCCTTGGTCCATAAAATCTCTGTCTCTCTCTCTCTCTCTCTC